TCTCTTCTGGTTTTGCTCTCCCAGGAACCAGCTCTGAGCTTGCCACAGGAAGCCTGTGGGTCCTCTGTGGGGCCAACATGTTGGTTATGTGCCATGTGCTGAGACCCACTCTTGAATATCTCCAGTTCATTTCACCCAAGGAAACAAGAAAGAAAGAAACCTCAGAGGCCATTTCTTGCCACCCGAGTTTAAAGAGCGGCTACAGTGGACCATGTGAGCCCGAGGAGCAGTGAGACAGAGGCTGAAGAATAAGGATAGCGACATATTTATATAGCTCCTTGCAGTTTTGCTGAGCACTTTCACACGCCAGTCTCGGTGAATTTTCACAACCACCTATAAGGGAGGGCTAGCAGGGCAAGAATGAGTTATTGTTTCTATTTAATGAAGGAAAAGGCTGAGCTTCAGGAAATTGGGTGATAAACCTTAGGTTCACAGCTATTTCCTGTAAGACTTGGAACTTGAACCCACTTTACCTGACTTCCACCTCAGAGGTTTCACATACACTCCCTCTTTGCTCCGTGCTCTTCACATCCGCAGAGAACTATCTCTGGTTACTATCTCTGGTTTTCCACATAATACATGTACATGATGCATGTATGTTACAATGTCCACACAAACTCCAGGATTGGGGACAGAGAAAGAAATCCAAGAATTGTTTAAAAGCTGGAATATTTAAAACGCCCTCTCTCATTCAGTGGTGGTTTCTTTCTTGCTTATCAGCACCTATGATTAAAAAAAAAGAAGAAACAAAAAAAAAACAAAAACAAAAAAAGTGGGAAAAAAACAACAGTAAGAGATTATTTTGAAATCTTTTTCTCTTTGCCTGTCTGTTTCTGATGGTAAAAAGGTAGAGAAAATAATCAGAGGGAGTCATAGAGAGAGAGGGAAGAAGAGGAGATAATCACTGATTATTAATTTCTATTCTGAGAGAATTAGTTTTTATTAAAAAATTTTAAAATAGCTCTAAGATGATTAAAAGGAAATGGTTAGAAACAAAAAGATTCCTCTCATTTTTCTTCTCCCATGCACGACACCCTGGCTTCACACAGCCAGCAAATGGAGTGTGGTGCTTGACCATCTCGTCCTTCCCACTGAGAGGGGCATTCAGATAGGGGCAATGGCAGACCAACATGGCCCTAGGATCTGTGAGAGCAGCTGGACTAGGTAGATGTCTTCCCATCTTGTAGTGTTGTGAGAATTAAAGGAGATTATGAGACTAGATAAAATATAGCAGGTGAAAAGATTTAATGCAGCTCCTGGAAAATAGTAGTTTAAATAAAACCACGCACCCCGCTGCATAGAAAAATGTCTAAGAGGACACCTGCTAACCTGTTGTTAGTTGTGTTAGGCAGCTTTTCTTTACTGAGATAAAATGCCTGATGTGAACAACGTAAAAGGAAGAGAGGTTTGTTTGGGCTCATGGTTCGTGGGCTCCATTGTGTCTTTGTCTGTGCTGACAAAGATACAATGTCATGGCAGAGGGGTGTGGCAGCTCCCCTCATGGTGGCCAGGAAGCAAAGGGAGAGAGCCAGGGGTTGGGGACCAGAAATACCCTTCTAGTGCATGTCTCCAGTGGCCTACGTTCCCCAATAGGCCCCATCTCCTGCAGTTGCCACCAGCTCCCCATAATGCTGTCAGTTCTGCACTTTATTCACTATTGAGGTCAGAGCCCTTATGAGCCAATCATCTCCCCAAAGCCCTGGCTCTGACCACTGCTCAACACGTGAGCATTGCATTGAGGGAGATTCCAGACCCAAATTATAAACAACAGCATCACTCCTCACGAAGTCTGCACGTGGTAGAAGCACTTTTACTTTTTCACTGTGTGCATTTCGCTTTGTATTGCATAGAGCATTGTGGGAATGGTGTGTGTGTGTACCAATGGATGCGTGTGGTGGCTCAAGTTAAAAGTAAGAACAGATACACGGCGATAAAGAATGCGACATTTTCAATGCCTGTCTGTGCCATTGTAAAGTCTGTTCTCATCCCAATGGAATCATAGAGGTTCCTCTGGTGGCAAGGGATGGCATCCACGGAAGAACAGATGCCCTTCGACCTGGGCAAGCAGGAGAATTGAGCAGCGTGGGTACGTAAGCAGGAGGCCTTCTACAATTGTGATCAGAAGATGTGAGCTGGGGTTGTGGCTCAGTGGTAAAGTGCTCGCCTAGCACGTGTGAGGCACTGGGTTCGATTCTTAGCACCACATCAAAATAAATAAAAATAAAGGTATTATATCTATCTACGACTAAAAATATATTTAAAAGGAAAAAAAAAAGATCAGAAGATGTGTAAGATGTCTCAGCTACAGTTGCCTTCCCATCAGGCTTTTACACTCCAGGAAGGGGAACCTGATTGGTCCATGTGGG